AATAATCCGTAAAATTAACTTTCAATACACAGCTCGTACACTGAATCCCATGTCTGTTATTGCAGTGAATAATATAGTCATTAATTAAGTTTTATTGTATTTAAATCCCAATATACCGTATAATAACGGAATTAATTACTACACCCTTTACTATTGTGTACATTATTCACCGAGATTCATTATAATGAGTGTGCATTTTATGTAACATTATAAAATAATAAATACATTAATACCACGAAAAACAATGACTCACTTCTTGATGCGATGACTTCGGGAACAATTAATTGTCGGATGAGTTTGTGAACACAAAAAAATATAATATACGGTATATATATAAATATATATATAATCATTATTATAGTCCGTAAAAATGGATTCATTTCTTGTCGTAATAATTAATAAAAACTGAAGAAAAAATTAAAAAATCAATAAAAAAAACTGAAATAAACTAATGGATGAATCGTATGGACACACCATCATCGGTGGCATCAGTTCCATGACCACCAAAATCAAAGTATATTACACCTCCAGCCGCAGACACTGCAGCAATAGTTAGGCTTCTCTTTCGTGGAGTTGACACTCATTTCTCTGACAATTTCGGCGAACACTTCGTTCACATTGATGCGGCTCTTGGCCGAGGCCTCCATGAAGGGCGCCGACCACACCTGCGCCAGCGCTATGCCCTCGCCGGTGGTCACCTCCCTCTGGTGCTCGATGTCCAGCTTATTGCCCACCAACAGGATGGGCACCCGATCCGAGCCCTTCACGCGCACGATCTGCTCCTTCATGTTCTTCACGTCTTGGAAGGTCTGATGATTGGTGATGGAGTAGACGACCACAAATCCCTGGCCGTTCTTGATGTAGAGGTCGCGCATGGAGGCGAACTGCTCGGTGCCGGCCGTGTCCAGTATCTCGAGCACACAGGGCCGCCCGTCCACCTCGATCTCCTTGCGGTAGAAGTCCTCGATAGTCGGGTCGTACTTCTCCATGAAGGTGTTGGACACGAACTGCACGGTTAGGGCCGACTTGCCCACCCCGCCCGACCCCAGTACCACCACTTTGTACTCGCGCATAGTGTGTCCGGGGGGTCGTCGTCGCTGTGATCGTCCGATTGGATCCTATGGTCAACTGAAAGGCCAGTCACACACGGTTTGCCAGTCGGGTATTTGTAGTGTCCGTCCACTCGGTGTCTTGCGATGGATGACAGTAACGGGTAGTGTAGGCGCTATCGTGTGGTTTATATATTGTGTATATATATTATGGCAGTTGTTGAGCACCAGTAGCCGATTGTCCCGATGTTTTCGGGTAATTACTTATAGTTATTATGAATACTAAACACTAATCGCATATAAAATTTTCGCGTCAATTGTAATACAACTATAAAATACTATAACTATGACTATAAATATGTATATAATTATTATACTGTATATATAAAAACACAATAAAAACTAATTAATTATAATAATAATAATACTAATAATAAACTCATTGATAATATAAACATCAAGTGTTGGCGTTTGGTATCATTGGACACAACTCGTTGGTGCGGTGGTGGCCGTGGATGTGGTGCTGATGATAGTGACAGTGGACGACATCGGCGTACAGCCAGACGTACGGCAATCACATGAACTGAGTTTCATATCTCTATGATTGGCGTCAATATCTCGAC